ATTATTTTATTACAACTTGTTATTGATACATCACTGCTTCAATAATTTTAACTGGTATATTTTATTATAACTTGTTATTGATACAACCCCTTCACCAATTTTGACTAGTATATTTTATTACAATTCGTTATTGATACAACCCCTTCACCAATTTTGGCTACTATATTTTATTACAACTTGTTATTGATACAACCCCTTCGCCAATTTTGACTAGTATATTTTATTACAAATGTTATTTATACATCACCCGCCCCTTAAATAATTTTGATGGTATATTTTATTAAAACTTGTTATTGATACAACCCCTTCACCAGTTTTGACTGGTACACATTATTACAACTTGTCCCTTCATCAATTTTGACTGGTATACTCTATTACAAGTTGTTCGTAATTAAATTCTAGATTTAAACTGTGGGCTGTTTGTGCAACTTCTGTGTAAATAACGTAATTTTAAGTTAATACAAAAGTACAGAAACAAAAATCAAACTTTGTACATTTAATGGCGTAAATTACAATTTTTTGCCTTATATTTATCAAATGGATAATTATTATCATTATTTTTCAGTTTGTTAAAAAAACGCAAAACAGGATGCAACGACATTCAAAATAAACTGGAATTTTATGTCCACAAATACAAAATAAAACCTACAAAAAAATTGAAATTAAGAAGACATTAGAGTAAAGATAAAAATACTTAGAAGTAGATAATTAGCAAAATATAAACTAATAAGGACACAGAGAGTGGAAATTTGATTTCTTAATTAAGCTAACTGACGTTTATCGCTGTCTATTATCTAGCGAAATTACAGCTTGGAGAAATTTCTTGTAATCAGTGCTACAAAAGTTCGCTGTTTAATTAAAGTCAGGAGTAAATTAAGCCGTTTGAAAGTATATTTCAAAAGTAAAGGTTCCATATGCGAAACTCCAACTTGAAGAAAGAAGTCCAGGAGAAGGAAGTTCGTGACATAAATAGATAGATAAATAGGTTTTGTTCCACATACTTATTGCAATATCATAAACTCTCGTGCATGCAAGAAGTCACAGCTTTGAAGACAATTGATTTTAAATTAATATAGTAAAACTGGATGCCGAAAAACGTTATACTTTAACCGATAAATGCGGTTTTTTTCCTAATATTAATTGCGAATTTCAGTTCAAAGGCAGTCCTTTAAAATTGTAAACACAATTACATTCTTGTTGCCTATTTAGAAAGATCGGTACAATCGAAATTTAGCACAAATCCTTGAGTGTGAAGAGATTTCCGTAATATCCTGCATTTAGTATTGATAATACAGTAAAACTAAATCTTTTTACTACACGGGTTCCCAAACTGGAGGTCGCAGGAAGGTATTTGGGGAGGGGGGCTAGCAAATACACAATATGAATAAGGTTTCAGTTTCTAGAAATTCAATGGGTGTTTTTGTGAGGAGCGGTTCTTTCTGGGAAACCTTGTGCTGAGAAAGTTTGGGAATCCCTATTTTAATAGATTACCTCTAGATTTTAACGTAACGTATCTGATAGGTACTTATAAAGCTTTTCATACCAGACCAACTATACACTTAACGACAACCTTCTTGGTAAGTGTCTTAGTCTTCCGTGGTTCATCTACCTTCAACAGAGACATCACGTGGTTAGTTTATTTTCCAAATAAAAATTAATGGCGAGTTCTATAAACGTATGTGTGTGTGAATAGGCTTAAGAAAGTGACCAGTCGCTGTATTTAAGAAATTTAAAATGCTGTTAATTACATTTCTGGCGCTTATATATCAACAAAAGGATAAAAATAACACTTTTATAATTGTTTTTATTTTGCTCTGTTCAGAAGCAAAAAGCAAGAAAAGTTCTCGAGACTTTTGTGCGTTATTAAAGAATTTATAGTAGTAACATATAAAGTCCATTAATATTAACACATTAATTTCAATGTACAATTTAAAAGAGTTTTATTCTTAAAATTCTAACAGCTCAAAACTTTTTATTTCTCTTAACTTATTTCGTAGTGAAAAGCAGATGCTTAAAATATGGTAATTAATCAGCTTAAGAATTTAACATTACTTTTCCAGACTTTTCTTAACCCTGTACTAATCTTTACTTCTCGAGAAATCAGCATGACCTAGGCTAAGACTCGTAGTTGGTTGTGATTTCGACCGTGTATAAGAAGTACGATGAATTAAATATTGTAATTTGATATAACCATTAATAAATATTTCTTAACAGAAAGATGCTAAGAATATACTTAGGAAATCAGAATAAAAGTGTTACTAGAAACTGATCGACTATAACTTAAAAATAACCATGAAGACATGAAGAACAGAAATGGGTTTGTCAAAATCGCTTTTAGGCTACGCTATCGTTTTTTAAGTATAATTATATAATACAATATGATATGTTATGACATAATCTGTGCATATACTACAATGAAAACTGTAATGTTTAAGACTAAATAATAAGAATTTGAAATTATCCAAGTAGACAGGCCTAGTGAAATATGTTGAGCCATGACAATACAACAAATCGTACCCCCCTCCAGGTAAGTGGATTAATAACGACAACAATTCGGGTTTAGATACTCGTGGTGGGTGGAAGACAGATAGCTCATTGTGTATCTTTGTGCTTTAAAACGAACAAACAAGAAATCAAACACATGTTACTGAATGAAAGATTCATGGAGCACTAAACGTAGGGTTTAATAAAATTGTTAATTTGAATCACTCTATGTTTATGATAAGGTGAAGAAGAACCAATGGTAATATTAGCTACATTTAGTTTTTGCATCATATGAGAAACTACTTTTGATTAACTTCATGAAAAACAAAACAAACATTCCATGATGCTAACTCAAATCATAAGACAATAGCTGACGAATGATTTGAGTTATTGGCGTGAAAGTAAATTGTTCTATTAAGTTAGGGTTAGAAAATTATCCCAGTACATGGTCATGTTAAACGCGATTGAACTCTTGGGAAATTGAATAGATAATTGAAATGAATTCGTGGAAATAAAATGATCTTACAACCATTGATAGAAATACGACAAAATATTTAATATTTGACAATGTATCATCTTGATTTTTTCTTCTCTTTTGGCAAAGGCTAGAATGAATGTCCTTGAACAGAATGAAACATAATAATCGTAAAAGTTCAATGTAATGAAATGAATCGCATGATTAAACTAATTGTTCTGGACAGAATATATTTTACTTTTGAAGGAAAGGCCAAACGTAAAGCTTTACAAATTCATGGCATAACATGTATCTCATTTTATCTTTTCACATTTCTAAATAAACATTTAACTTGTGAAATGTAAGCTGACATTCAAAACACGTAAGAAAACTCCTTCTCCTGGAGAATAAGTCGTTCCTTCTGAAATGCACTTCTCTTCACGAGGGCCAGGCATTTATTTGCGTGAGAGCAGTGGTAAATCTTTCAATAAATCATTATAATGAAAGCACTTAAACACATCAGCCTGGAACACTTTGGTAAATCTCTATAATTGAAAGATTAAACTTTGAGCTTACTTTAATCGAGTTCAAATCTGTAAAACCGTGAAGATAAATGGAAGTAAACATCTAAAGGGTTTTATTTTACTACGATGTGACTTTAACGTTGATTATCAAGGATTATCTGGTAAGAAAAATAAGTTTTACTCTGTTCTTGCGAACAAATCAGGCAAATCTGAATCAGAATTTGAAATTAGAGAAACATAATTAATTATTTTTTGTAACATAATATTTTCCTACATGAGTAATCAGAAAGCAATGATTCACAATTTATCTATATTTCCTTCATCTACATGAGCTAAATAATAAAATATAAATGTTAATAATTCGAATATATAATGGAAATTTCACTGTGACAATGTTAAACTTATTAAAAATGCCTAAACACGACTTTATTCTATAAAAGTACTTCTCATAGCTTGTTGTTGTTTGTTATTAAGCATAAAGCTACACAAATGGTTATCTGTGCTTTGCCCACCACGGGTATCGAAACCCATTTTCTAGCAGTATAAGTCTGCAGACATACCACTGTGCCACTAGGGGGGGGGGAGCTTCTCATAGTATTATCTAAACATCCTTCTACTTTTATTATGATTTTTTTCTAATCTCGAAATACCTGACATCCGGTCCTTTCTTAAATTTATTGATTAATCTATGAACTATTTTAGTCAGGTAATCAATGCAAAATTTACCATGTTTTAAGTCTGACTTTAGTTGAACAATCCATGAAGTATTTGTCATGTTGTGTCTGAATTTAGTTGAATGATCAATGAAGTGTTTGCCATGTTTTGTTTTTACTTTAGTTGAATGATCCATGAGTTGTT